GGGTAAAAATGTGTGGTTTTACCTCGGTAGTAATAGGTCAGCAGGGGTCGCTATACTGCAGGGAAAGTTTAAAAGTCATGTTATCAGTCCACAATAGAGAGATTGATATTGGAGACATAGGAACTTAAACCAAAGAGCATATATAAGAATAGATCTCAGCAGTCCTGCGTAGACTTCTGGTTGATCTCCTCAGAATCAGAATCAGAAACAGGTTTATTGCCAGGTAGGTTCGCACATACTAGGAATTTGACTTGATGTCATGGTGCATACATAAAATATAAAAAAACAAGAATCTTTTACACCGTAATAAAATACAGTTAAATAAGCAGTAATTTACATGGAAATAGAATGCTATGAATGAATTTTAGAATATAAACTATGAAATGTGAAATAAGAATATGTGCAGAAAGGAGTATGAACATTGTGTGCATTAATGTAATTCATATAGTCTATGATGTGGCTGAGGTAAAGTGTCAGTGGGGGGGCCGGGCCTTGTTTAAGAGGCCGGTAGCGGAGGGGAAGAAACTGTTCAGGTGGCGAGAGGTATTGGTCTTGATGGAGACATAGAACATAAGTTGGATTCAGTACTAAAATAACCCTCAGTCTTTACAGATCATACTGCTGTTATCACAAAAGTCAATCTGGGACCAATCAGACATAACTGTATCTGGGATTACTGGAAATTAAAAACACTCTTATTAAATACTGAATTTAAAACCGAAACTCAGAAATATTGACTATGCAGTGGCTTTTTAATGCTTTGCCTAGGAGTGTGCTGCAGCTTCTTAGATATCCAGATACTGAGGCCTCAGTGGTTGATCTTTCTAATAGCAGTATATTCCTTGGTGAAGTGGTCGTTCACATACATTTGCGAGCATTTGTTGTTAGGTTGCTGTTAGGTTAGCCCAGTCTAGCGTCATGATAAGACAATTCATAACAGATTGTTAATTTACATTTATAGAAGAATACGTGACATCAACTGTCAGTCCAGGGGGAGAGCAGAGCAGTAAGGTAGATATAAGAATCTAAGAGATATTAGAGGGGACTACAATGAATATCAGGAAGACAAGTCAAATGATATGTGGTCTGATTGACTAATATTCCAGTTCTAATAAGGTGCAAAATGAACTTCGAAATACAGTTAAAAAATATTATACTGTGCAAAGAGCATGGTGATTATTAAAAGAATAATATGCCACAGCTGACTGCCACTATCATAGGGGCGTCATTAAAGTGCAATGTCATTATTGTGTATTTTGTTGTGCAAAATAGCCATTGATGGAAGCAACGCATCTGTTGTCCAGACATAAACCACACCCTTGTTCCCATGTTTGACTCTAACCCTTTAGACATAAAATGAGGATTCTGATCTAATCTAAATACACATATTCACATCATGATGTTTCTGCCAACAATATCATAGTCTGTCATTTGTTCTTGCATTTAAAAAGTAAAATGTTTAAACCCTTCGTGGTTTTTGGGTTGTAGATCAATCCGTTCCTTCTACCCAGAACCCTCTATTTTCATATCTGATCATGTTTTTGTAACATTACCTCTCTGCTGACGTCTTTGCATCTTGGATCTCGTTCCTTAACCTTCAAGATCTTAGTCAAGTATTTGTATCCTGCAGGCAAACATGATTTATTGCTCTTCAATGGAACAAATCTGAAGCAGCAACTATTAATCAATGGATAAATAACCTTTTAACCTGCCTGGCCATGGAAACAGTGAAGTCTGCTGCTAACGTCAGACCTTTATCCTCTACCTGGAAAACAAGATACCCAACCACCTATGTACTTTCTGATGAAGATAGATAAATGTAGATTATACATGACAGAATGATGAACATGCTGTTTTTGTTTGTTTTTATTTGTCCTTTATGCTTCTGTGTGTGTCCGTCTATATTTGTGTTGCTGTTTGTGTCCTTATTTATTGTGCAAAAATATGAAATCCAATACAATTATAATTCAACAAGAACAGAAAAGTGCATGGACAATGTGAACTTGATCCATTAACGACTATAACTGTCATATATACTGACTTCATTAAATAGACTCTTGAAACATAAGTAGAAGCATTGCTGCTTCATATATCTAAAAATATACCACTTATTATTACGTCAGTGTGTTACAATACACAGAGCTACTGGAGTAATAATCGAGGTAGTACAGGCTTAACATTAAAATAACTTGGGTCTAAAAGCCTTCTCAACTATGCACAACCAAACAGCTGGTGATTTTCACCTCCGTGTATGATGGAGTGGAGTTGTGAAGGGATGGATGAAGGATGGCAAAGACATTTAAAAAGTCATGTGTGAATGAATATTAGATTTTTTTGGTAGCCACAGAGTGGGAAAAATCTGCATTTTCATTTAGCAAAGTTAAATGAAGAGCCAAATAATGCAAGGACAGCACAAATGACAACCATCTTGGTGTGAAAAGCCTTTCAGCACTGGGCTTGAGCAAACCAACTGTGGCTCATTAAAGTGACAGATCTCTGGTCCTTGGCTGGTAAGATAGAGCTGAGACATTGTCAAGGATGCAACTGTACTGAGTTACAGAGCCAAATATAACAGATTGCCACTTCCCTCAACCACGTCCATACACTACACACTGTTTGAGTTTGGAGCTGTAGGTGGGGATCTCTGGTTGTACTTCCGTAGTCAATGAACATGTTTGTACAGAAGCTGCAGAGCTTAACAGGGCTGACGCGTTACTATTGTTGCGAAATGGGCTTGTCTCAATATGACACCATGTATCGTGCAGGTGTGACATACTTGATAAGTCCGATGTGAAGGTGTTGCCACAGCAAACTTTATCAATACTAGGCATCCATTATTGTTCCCTGAGACTTATTGCTGTGATAAATGTGTTTTCAGTGTGAAAAACTGATCATACAGCAGTAAGTTTGAACACAGAACTGTACTGGCAGTGTCCAAATATCCCTTGCATGACATCAAGCACTTTAGGCTGCTAAAACTAGTACTAGTTTGTGTTCTTGGTAGCATTAATATACACTGTAATCTGTCCCACCATACCCATGTCATTGTGATGTATACTTAGCAAGACTTTGACTTTACTCCCAAGATGATCCTGTGGCTTTTCGGGGAGTTTTTACCATACAAGGAGAAGAGTTTAGTATGGTTTCCTGTGGGAGGGTTCTGATTTCTCTCACTCTGCATCTGATTCACCCTGTCTCTATTCCTCTCTCCTTTACCACCTCTCATTTTCTCCCTCCCTTGTCTCCTGGATCAGCTCCAAACCTCCTTTATGCTCACTGTACAAGCTGAAGGGAATCTTATTAAAGAAAAACCTCACTAAAAGACTTCCAAAATCAATATTTGTTATCTTGAATAACCAGAGCCATGCATTATCATAACATTGTGTGCAACCAGCATCCTGACAAACCAAATAAGGCACACAGTTAATCTCATGATGTCTGCCTGTGTAAACCAGAGGACTGTAGGGCTATCAAACTGTCACCACTTTCATAAACTTGTGCCAAAAAAGGCTGACGACTTCCTCCCCTGCTAGAAAGAATCCTAGCAGTTTTGGTCTATAACAGAAAATATGTGAATATCTATATATCTGCTGGCTTTCAATTTGGCAGATTCAGTCAGACACTGCGCAGTTATTTCCATACCTCTGATATGAGGCAGAACCTCACCGCAAATGATCTCAGCCAATATGACAGTCATGACTATCCCTATCAAAAAACATCATACATCTTCAAAATGGCCACAAACACAATAAGCTTGGTTTTGCAACAAAGCTTTTTTTTGTGTGTTAATGGCAATGGTTGAAATGTCCCAACACATAAAGAAAGGTAAACAGATTTCGATGGACAGCAAAAACTTTTCCTGGCCATCTTCCTCTGTGCTAAACAACAATCAGGACCATGTCTGTATAAGGAATAACATCAAATGTAAATGGATACCCCCCCCTTAGTGATCATGGCCATGAAACATGAAAATCAAAACATGCATGTGTCCGGGTCTATCTGCAGTCTCTTAAATGGTCACTCTATGCTTCACTTTTCTTTGAGTTTCCTTGTAATCTTTATTTTTAGTCGGGGCAGCTGGCAGAGAAAAGTTGAAGGCAAGCAGACAGTCATTAGCTCTGATGTCATTAGTATACAAACAGATATACACAGCTCCTGAGCGCTAAAACGATTTCAAAAGCAGCACTTTTTGCAAAAAGATGAATCATAAATGACAAAAATGTAAACATCAATGTGTAGTTTTCATGAGCATGACCCATTTTTCAAACATACTTCAAAAACACAATCTAAAAACACAAGTTAACAACAAGTCAACAATCCTTTTTTGATGTTGTGTGACTTATAAATGACAGAAAACAGTTCTAAATAAAGGTCAGTCAGACCAATAATAATTAAGGGGAGCTTAATTACAGTAGACTTTTGGTTTATGTCCATGCAGCTGCCTTGTGTTCGTCACACGCAGACAGACTCTTCCTCCAGAATCTTCCTCCAGAATCTGAAGCTGGATCATTTTTCCAACAGCCCTTTTTCATTCAGCAGTAGAATGAAAACTATGTCCTTCCTAACCAACTCTGGTATTAACATCAATTTGAACATTCCTGAGTAAGAACACAGGCATATAGATTTGCAGCCCAAAGGGGGGAAAAAATGTATCCTCCAGTAACTCATATTACTAATGTGGACAAAGTCTTTTTGATGTCTGAGTTCTGGACCTGCTTCTTATCTGATATTTCTCTCCTGCTGGGTTCAAAACAAAAAGGCCATGATCCAAATAAGGAGATGGGAGATCTAGAGCAAGTTGTTCCTCCAAGGAGCCTTCGGAGAGGTGAAGTTAAGATTAGAGAGGGGGGGCACAGTTGTAGAGTAGCCCGGGCGGGGATTGGCGGAAAGGGGTAAACGGTGGGAAAGGGCTGTCACTGGAGACTGGGGCTGTCTCTAAACATCCAGACAAGTTTAGATCACACAGAGCTCCAACGTCTCTCCGTCTGCATCCTCCTCTCCTCTCCTCCTTCTCTCCTCCTCTCTGCATCTGCTGGTTGCTCTCACCCTCAACTCTTCTGAGCCTCTCTTCCTCTGAGCTTCCGCAACAGCTATTCACCTCACGTTTTCATCCAAAGCCACTTCCAAGACACTGAGACCCAACTGTCACCATGGAGGCCATCAAGAAGAAGATGCAGATGCTGAAGTTGGACAAGGAGAATGCCATCGACCGAGCAGAGCAGGCTGAGTCCGACCAGAAGGCAGCGGAGGATAAATGCAAGCTGGTGAGACAAGCTGAAGGATGAGATGGAGCAATGTGTTCTTGTATAATGCTAATTTAACAAATCTGGAGTTAGCTTGGCAATAGTTAGATTCTTATTGTGACTTTCATAAATAAGATAACATGCTTTATACATCCCACTCAGAAAGAAGTGCAGATGCTACTGTAACAATACTTATACTTTGGTTTGAGTTATGATCTGACCAAATTGTACTTATAAAACCACACAAATATATAAAATGAATTCATAACAGTTTAACATCAACAAGATTATTTTAATTGTGATTTTGTGTTAATTTTATGATTTTATAAAATAATATTATTTATGCTGTTATTTTGAGTCCTATTTGAGTTATGTGGCATTTAGTTGCTGATCATATCAATTGGATTTGTGTTTTTTAGTCTGTTTAACCACTATTCATGCAGATGTATTGGGCTAGATTATTATTATATCTATAATAATACAAATTATTATTATTACTATTTATTTTGTTATTTTTATTTCATTATATTTATTGTATTATTATTTTTAACAGAACGTGGCTCAATTTAATCAATTTGCTATTCATATATAATATTAAATTATCTGTATGTTTTATATTAAATTAAAATGCACTTTCCCTCAAGTAAATACAAAACATACCAAACCACTTGTGCAGTCTGTAGAGGAACTTTATATCAATGACAAGTATTTCCCAAAGTACTGAATGCAGCCTAACAGAGAGCAGCTGATACTGAGCCCAGGGGTTTTGTCTTTTAGCGGACAGGAGAAGTAGAGGAAGTCCACAGGGACGCACAAACAGAGCGCTGAGTGACACCTGCTGGACATTTCATCAGCAGCGAACCAGAGGGATTACTTGAAAGTACCAAAAAGGATGCTGCAGGAGTTTAAATAACTCATTTATAGCAGCTGTTGCTCTGAGAACTACATTACCCAGCATCCTAATTTATAGGAGTGACATATCAACAAAACATAAAATCAGCACAACCATATTTGGTGTTGCAGTGCGAGAGCCTTAGACAGTTTGGTATTTCCAAGGCTGACTTCATGATAGTGTCCTTAAACCACTTGATACAAGCAAAGTAGAGTCTGGAGATGTAATGTGATATTTGAGGTTGTCTAAATAGAGGCAAACATTGCACAGTGGGAGGTGTTGTCATCATGGGGCTACGAGAGGAATGCTAGTGAGCAGGGAGTTGGAGAGGATCTACAGGATCTGCATTAAAGCAAGTGGAAAGAATCTTCTCTGGGGTTTCTAATGTCGTAGTCAAACCCTCAGAGAGCAAAATAAATGACAGTTGGCAGATATGGACCCCCAGCATGTCTTGCACAAAGGAACAGTCAGCATGAAATCCTAGAAGATTATGCAGAGCTCTTTAATTTGTTTGGATGGCATCGATACAAGAGATGCTTTCTTTGCCATTCTTGGCACGATGGGACAAACATAAGAGTGCAGTTAGGATGATGGAAGGCCCTGAATATACACAAAACTGAAACTCAATCTTAACACAAGTTACAAACAGTCTGCTGCAGCAATTAAAAGATCAGTTTATCCAAATAACAAAACTATTTTAAGAATTCAGCATTAATGTGGCTTTTAAAAAGCAATGCCCTGGTTTTACAATCCTTCGACTTCCTCACAAAGGGTTTGAATCGAAATGACTTTCTACCAAATAAATAGTTCTAATGAAAACCTTTCACAGCATTTTCTATAGGTGGTGGATGGATTATTCTGAAGTTGTGTTCATTCATGGTTCAGCATTCAGTCATGCATGGTTCCCAGAGAATGAATCCTAATGACATTTGTCCTCTGATGTTTCATCTAGCGCCATCATGAGGTTGATAATTTAACTTTAAAAAATCATTCTTCTACAACTAATGGATGCTTTGGTGTGACAATATTCATGTCCTACAAGAATTCATTGCATTCCTCCGGTGCTCCTCCTACACTTCATCTAGCACCCTCATAAGGAGAAATAAAAGTTCTTCCAATAGTTGGTTTTATGACTCAATACCTGTAAAAACAACATTCCCATCAGCCTTGGTGTTGAATGCTAAGAAGCTAATGCTAAACATTTTCCTCGTGCATGTAAGCATAAGCCACAAAGTTTAGTCCTGTTTTGAGAAATGTATCTTAACTCGGGACTGCCATGTCCTCAAGTGCTTCTGGTTTTATTGACCCATCTTACTTAAGTGCTTTCAACCTAAAAAAATTATAATTAATGATCATTTTCCTTCCCATCGCTGTATCGAAACAGTCCTGGATTTTTCCATTCAGTGTTTCATTCATACTTACTTGGTTTGGTTTTGCTGTGTCCTTCCTGACTCTCTGTCACGTTTGTCTTCTTTCAGCTGGAGGACGAGCTGCTTGCTCTGCAGAAGAAACTGAAGGGAACAGAGGATGAGCTGGACAAGTATTCAGAGGCCCTGAAGGATGCTCAGGAAAAACTGGAACTGTCGGAGAAGAAGGCCGCGGATGTGAGTTAACCACAACGCCATCTGAAACACATTAACCACATAACAGTGGAACACCACAACTTCTAAGTTTCAGTTTTATAACGTATTGATTACCACACTTTCAGTTGGACTAAACTAAATATTATTCCATGGTTGACAAAAGACCAGCGATAGAGACACATTCAGGGTTTGCAAAGAGACACAAATTAGTCTAAAAAAAGTAGATGCCTAATGCACTCAGTCTGAGTATTTCTATCACAGCTCACACTCCCAAAAGAGTCATGCCTGAACTTGCATTTTTGACGTTTGGTTGTTTCTTCAGTGATGAAACAGCAGCAATACGTATAACACTGACATTCAGATAATATAAAAACCTATTTTTAAAGCTTTTTGTGTAGCTGTAATCTTGAAAAATGAGGGGAAATGTTATGATTTAAACAAAAAAAGTAAACAAGAAGGCAGTAAGGAGGATCTTATAGGCACATGTTTGCCATCAGATTGGATTTAAACACAGGAAGGAAGGTAAGGTATTTCTTCCAACAACCTTTAAAGGAATCTTGAAATCACTGCACTTGTATCTTTTACTTTCGTGTTGAGAATCGTTGAGAATCACTGAGTTATTGGTCTTTGTGAGGTCTGTAATGGAGCCATTTCTCAAGCACAGACATAACTTGGCCAGCCTGTAGCCGACCAGGAATCCCAGGAATCCCAGGAATGCAACTTAAGCAAACAGAGAAGCCCATTCTGCAGTTTCTAATGAAATCAATGCTCTGGCCTTTTCTGGGGGCGGAGATATTACACTCTGTGCTTTAAATGGCCTTACAGTACAAACCTTAACTCATCGAAACCAATGGTGAATGACCATTATGTGATCTGTCTTTTACGGCAATGTCCCATTTACCTGAAAAATACTGTTATGGGTGTCTCTGACCTTAAGCTAAAGGTTAAGCAGAAATATGTAGACACAAATAGACTAGCTTTCCACTAAGAGTTAGAGTTTCTACTTTTAACCCTCCTATTGTCTTTGTCCCCCCCCCCCCCCCCCTTACTTTGGTGTTCGCGGTCAAATGTGACCGGTCCTGCTTTAACTGCTATTACATTAACAGATAAACCATTAATCATCACCAAATTTCATGTAACACCCTTTCAAACTGTAAATATTGTATTAGACTACTGGTATACATGAACAACTGCAGTAAATATACAAAGAATAGAATAGACACTGAACATGTATTGCGTGTGCCAGGTGTGATCCATGTGGGGGGATGGGCACATAAGAGTGGGAAATGTGTCAAATTGTTCTGTGTGTGTGTGTGTGTTTGTGCCAGGTGTGATTCACATGGGGGGATTGGGCACATAAGGGGGACACACACATCTAGAGTGTGTGTGTGTGTGTGTGTGTTTTATCTGGTCCGGATGGTTACTAATTCCATTTCTTTATGGCAGTCAGACCGGGAACACCATGGGTGTTTCAAAGTTGACTAAATCATCCAAAATTCAATGAAAGTGGTGATCAGTAATTGTATATGTTCAAATGTCTACTGTGAAGGATATCATAATGCCTTAATGCAATCGAATGTAAAACAAAAAAGTTATGATTGATGAAAGTAGTAAATCGGTCAGATTTAACCGAAGACAACAGGAGGGTTAAGGTCTAGATTTTTCATCAGATTTTAAGTAAGATGCATCTTGGTAAAAAGGTGATGCCTGTGGGTTGTTGCACACACATCATTACTATAGTTTCAACTGAGATGTATTTGTATTATTGATTATCTGATTATTTTCTTGATTATCTCAGATAATTGTTTTGTCTATTTAAGAAGTCAGAAAGTAGTGAAAAAAAGACTTTTTACAATTCTCACAACTGAGAAACTGGGACTAGTGAATGTGTAATATTTAGTTTATTAGAAAAGTTGCAAATATAATGTATTCTTCAGTTGGATGAAAGCAGAGGTAATCGCTAACTGCTGGGCATTGCAGCCAGCCGGTCCCACCTCCACAGGTGCCCTCGGGCCAGCTGCAGGGTCCTCAGCTGGGACCCCCCTTCACAGATGTTTGGCCCCTTTAATCTCAGTACATCTTGGTGGGACATCTCCCTCCCTCTCCCTGCAACTGGTCCTAAGATCCTCGCTTAACCCCCTTTGCATCTTTCTGTATAGCCAAAGCCAGACCCATGAAACTGAATTGAACACATAGCATTACATATAAAGTAGATTCCACAGTATGTCCAAAAAAACAGGTCAGATAACCCTAACCCTAACCCTCAGGTTAAAGGTCACATTACAATGTGTTCATTACAGATAATCCAATGCCAATTATCAGATTTGTGTTGTTCCAGCACTACTTTTTCTCCTCATAAGTTTCACACTGCAAATGATTGTGATACATGGACAGAAAATGACATTTAAGGTTTTTCTAAAAAAATGAGGAGGAGGCATAAGGGGGCGCTGGAGGAATGTGTCGCCACATTCCAAACTGCTGCATGTCAACAACCAGTTGAAAAGATTATTATCGCCCACCCTTCACCCTACCTTCTACATGTCTTTAAACCCTTTATTTCTATACAGTCTACAACTTGCCTCTTTGTCCTTTCAAAAACTTTTACTTTTCTTCCCCCCCCCCTCACACAACCATGTCCAATCTTGCATGATTCACATAAAGTGTCGTAGGAGTGAATCACACCTATGAATCAGATGAGGTAACTCTTCCTGATCTCTATGCCCTCCTCCTGCAGAACAAATGCAGCCTAAGCAACACCTTACGTTTGCCATATAAGTCCACAATAGAATTGACGTTACACACCTCTTTTGTGGAGGAAACGACCGAGTGCCTTCCCCTTCTGAATCCTGTGATGTCATCTGAGACAGGCTCCTTCACGGGATTGGAGGATTTCGCCATACATTTCCTGAAAACTCCCAGCCCTTTTCTCCCCCATCTCAACCCAGCACGTCTCTGACTTCCTGCCCTAGAAAAAAAGTTTTCCTCGCAGTCCGCAACTTTGAGGCGAATCAATAACTTTTTCACGGATACAGCCAGTCGATCCAGACTGCTACATTTGCCGGGCTACTTCTTTTTCTTTTGAAGAAAACAAAAAGCAGTCGATATTATGGAGGTCGTGAAGAAGAAAATCCAAACCCTCCAGCTACAAGTTGATGAGGCAGAAGACCGTGCACTGGCAGTACAAAGGGAGTTGGACACTGAACGGGAACAGCGAGAAGAAGTGAGATAATTAATCATGTATCCAACCTCAGTCGCATTTTTACTTTTATATTAACTTTTTGAGCAACTTGTATTGTGGACTGTAACTTAAGGGATTCACACGCTAACTGTCAGTGATAATGAGACACGCAACGCCCCTGTAAAGAATTTCGACCTTTTCCTGCGTATCTCATTTGAATTGTTGCCGTTTCTAACTTAAAATGTGTCAATATGATGCTTTTTAGAGGTTTGTTGGAGGAAATTGCATATTTGTAGAGACATGACGTATGAAACTTGTGTTCGGCTGCGTTATCTAACTTTAACCCGCCCTAGTTATGCCTAAACCACCAGCAAATGCAACGACAGCTTCAGTCGATTATTACATTAACCGTCAGCGTGGTTGCTTAAGGTGTGGCAGGCTTTATATGATTTTCTCCCAATTTATGTCAAAGGTTGTTTTGTCAATCATGCATTATTCCTTGTTCTGATCGCCCTTTGAGCTTTTTGTCCGAAAAACATTTGACACATTAGGAGCTGTAATCCCTCCTCTTGAGCCTCTACACAGGAAGAAGAGCGCAGACGTGGTTATCTCTGATATCAGTCCCACAGGAAACAGGCCCAGAACAGGCAATCTCTCGTCCCCCAAACATACATTCAAAAAAGTCAGACCAGATGTTCCACTTCAGATATTTCAGGGTTAAGTTTGGCCACCCTGGTTTTCTGCTTCAGCAGTTTTCAAAGTATCTGGTCAAGATTCAAAGTCCAGAACTCATCAGGGTTGTTGTGAAAACAAATACACGGAAGAAATCTGACTTATTGGACAGGAGGATAAAATTAAATGTATTTATGCACATAGTCTTGTGATTGGTTCCACAGAATGTAGGCATTATTAAATAATCTATAAAACACTCTTTATATTGAGATCAAGAAAGTATACATACACTGATTACTCTGACTACAGTATCAAGGAGGCATTGCACCAGAAACAAAGCGCCAGTTTTAAAAATAAATGGTATGAGTTAGTTGTATAGTTTGTTTCCAATGTGCAGCTGGCTCCATTCTCCACAGTATCCTTCCTCTTGAGGCAGCAGCTTGTTTCCTGGCTGACCTGTGACCTCTTTTCCTCTCTGTGTTTTGTGTGTGTGTGTGTGTGTGTGTGTGTGTGTGTGTGTGTGTGTAGGCAGAGAGCGATGTGGCATCTCTGAACCGCAGGATCCAGCTGGTGGAAGAGGAGCTGGACCGCGCTCAGGAGAGACTGGCCACAGCCCTGCAGAAACTGGAGGAGGCTGAGAAGTCTGCGGATGAGAGTGAAAGGTGAAAATCAACACTGCCGGCAGTCGTTTTACACTAACCACAAAGTTGTAGATGTATCTACAGTATTAGAAAAATGATCATCTCACAGCATCAAGGGTCACACATTTTGATAAGGAGCAGCGAAGAAGAGCCTTGCGGTATGACTTACTGTAGGCCGCAACATATTATTTGTAATATTTCAAGAAGATATAGATTCTAGTTTTGGAAATCTAATACAAGAAATGTAATTAACATCTCGATGGGATGTACGGTCAAGTTAGACGTTTGCTGTACAAGAAACAGACCAGATAAAACTTCAAAAGATACAAGATTAGAGCAAAGGAAGCTAAACTATGTACCACAATACATTAAAATGTATTTAAGAATACAAATAATTAAAGAATAGAAGTCATTCCAAATCTAATATTAGATTTGAGTAGCTATTTCAAATATCACAGTATAACCTTGATGATTAATCAATCCTGTAATGATTATGAGTTATACATGTTAAATGTTTGGTATGTCCAGAGAAGCCTATACTCATGTGTTGCTTTTATTGAGAGAAGGCCTAGAAAAGAGTTCTGTCACCTGCATTATTCTTAGACTCCGACCACAAAAATGAACACGAAGTCTGAACAAACTTGTGGTGACTTTTTTTGTCCTTTTGAACTAAAAGTCTGTCTCTTTGTGATCATCAGAGGAATGAAGGTGATTGAGAACAGAGCCATGAAAGACGAAGAGAAGATGGAGATCCAGGAGATGCAACTCAAAGAAGCCAAACACATTGCTGAGGAGGCGGACCGCAAATACGAGGAGGTAGAACTCAAGAAGATCACATTTCAGCTCATTTTCAGTTTGCAGACGTCATTTCTGTTAACTGTGTTGTTGTTTTTTACAAATCTAATGTCAGGTTGCCCGAAAACTGGTCATCCTCGAGGGCGAGCTGGAGAGGGCAGAAGAGAGGGCAGAAATTGCAGAACTGTAAGGAGAAATAGGAGAAGTTTAATGCATGTTTACCAGCATCATTACATTGTCAACATCAATCGTGTTCAGAAAATTCAGATGTGTTTCCTCTATTCAAACAGTAAGTGTGCTGACCTGGAAGAAGAGCTGAAGAACGTCACCAACAACCTCAAGTCGCTAGAGGCTCAGTCTGATAAGGTGAGTGTTGTTAATCTCTCTCTCCCGTGTGATGGACCAGCCTGCTGTTTTATCTTAAAGAAAACTTCACATATTCACAACCACTCAGCTGTTCCCCTGCAGCAGAGCATTTGTAATACATTTAATTGAGTAGAGGAAGTGTTACCCAGTTGTTGGCAATGAACAAGTTCCATGTTCCTCCAACAATGTATAATACAATATACTTAAAACATAAAAATGACATAAAATAGTGCCAAAGGACATTAAAATACATGTGGAGTAACTTGGTTTCACAATTAAAACCATGTGGTATTTATTGTGTTTGCAATTAATTTCCTTTCCTTTCTGTCTCTATAGTACTCTCAGAAAGAAGACAAATATGAGGAGGAGATTAAAGTCCTGAGTGACAGACTTAAGGAGGTAAGTTTATGACCACTAGAGCTCTGAGGGAATCTGCGTCAGAATGATTAATGTTTTTTTTTTTCAAGGCCGAAACCCGTGCAGAATTCGCAGAGAGGACAGTGGCGAAACTGGAGAAGACCATAGATGACTTAGAAGGTACACTTCATTTGTATTCTTGTTTTCAATCCTTTACTGACCGTTCTTTATTCAACCTTTGTTCAAATCTTTAATTTTCTCATTCTTAATCTCTGCTCTGATTTTTCTCTTTCTCCTCCTGATTTTCCATCCTGGTCTTCAAAATGTCTTCCTTGTCCTCCACCTGCTTTCCTCTCTGACCTTCAGACGAACTGTACACTCAGAAACTGAAATTCAAGGCTATCAGCGAGGAGCTGGATAATGCCCTCAATGATATGAACACCTTGTAAACGTTGCATTTACCTCACTTTCCCTTTGTCGCCTCTTCCCTGATTTAAAGCACTTTGTCTTTTATTTTCTCTCTTTGCACTTACTGTCCCTTGCTCCTTTTTTGTTAAACTAAAGCTGAATAAAGATATTTTCTCTCTTTTTACTGTCTCCTGTCATTTCAGTTAAGCCTTCTCTTCACCTCGTTTCAGCTGTAACATTTCCTTTGTTAATTTGCCATCATGAAAGGGCCGTTGTCGGGTTACTTCTTGTATACAAATGTGTTTTTTTTGTTATGTTAGTCTGCTTTAAACCGATTTTCCTAGCACTTATGTACTCATGTAATCTGTTCACTAACCCAGCCATTGTGTTTCACATCTACTGTTACTTTCTATTGCAGAGAACCTATCAAAAGAGAAAGAGCAAAACCTAGGAATGCAGCAAGTCCTGGACCAAACACTGCAGGATCTCAATAGCTTGTAAAATGCCAACAACGACATCAAACGAATACAAATAAGAACATTTGTTTTGTAAAGGATCTTTTCTACATGCCATCCATTCCATGTAATTCCTCTCTCTAGTCCTGGTTGTTAAAAACATGTACCCCTTTTTATATATTTATGGTTCTTTTGTTTCTTCCCCGCTTTTTTAATAATGGTTTCGGGTCCAAATGATAATCAGTTTGGTTGCTGGAAAATGTGTTGTACTTCAAACTCTGAGCACAAATAAAACTGATGAAGATGATGACATGAGTTTGATGTGTTATGTTGACAGTGTGTGTATGCACCATTTTGCATGCAGAAAGAGCTCACCATTTAATTAACATGTGCTAACATGCACAGCACCCTTTGCGCTCTGCATAGACAAAGATACTTCTTAGCTGAATGTTTTCCTGATCCCTTAACAGTAATGTGATTTACTGATATTTGGTTTTTTATGAAGGTGTCAATGTCATCTCATTAACCACAGCAATCAAATGACATATGACCAGATAAGTTCAATGTTAAAGATGACTTAAAAAAGTTGTCAATTGTCGAAATAACATACATTAAGAAGTCCTTATTCGGACGTTTATTGCCAAGTAGGTTTTCACTTAGCAATCGATCAAAGTGTATTTATATAGCCCAATATCACACATTTGACATTTGTTTCAGTGGACTTTACAGTTTGTACAGAATATAAATATGATGCCTCCTGTCCTTGGACCAAATGCTTGAAAATGCATGTGCCTTAACATAAGAAGGTGGATGTCAACAATCCTGTGGGAGCCATCATCGAAGAAGTAGCATGGTGAGAATCAGGCAGGACCACAGTGATAGGCTCAGCCACGACTCAGGATCCCACCATAGACAGACACCAACAATACATTTGGGGAAAGCCGGGTTATTTGGAACATGAGTACATAGGTACAAAGAGAAAGAAGTAAGGTAAAAAGTAAAACATTTCGGTAATAAGCTGTTGTAACGAAATATATTTGTGTGAACTGTGTACATGTAAATCAGAAATATATGAGCTAAAAACAGAATTGAAAATGAAATATTGTACAGGAATAACATTTTATTGTAATAATAAATAAATACAATGTAAGTATAATAATAACAATAATACATGGGATTTTTATAGCACTTTTCCTAATGCTCAAAGACGCTTTACATAAAGGAAATAATTAAAGTCTAAGTACTTCAAGAATGTGGACTATGCCACTTGGGTTAATGCTTCCAACACTAGACGGAAACAGTGACTGAAGGGTGAACGCCCACTGGTGACAGTTATAAACTGCAGGGAGATTCCGGGCCAGCAGGGGGCGTTATTTCAGTATATCTCAGTACCTCCACATCACTGGTTCGCCGGGCGGGATTTCCGCAATAATATCAAGTATGGCGAAGACATACGACTATTTGTTTAAATTACTGTTAATCGGCGACTCTGGAGTCGGGAAGACCTGTGTCCTCTTCAGGTTTTCAGAAGACGCCTTCAACTCCACGTTTATCTCAACCATAGGTACGGATTTGATAATGTACAATGTCTTTATGTCTGTTTACAATGGCCCGTCTCAAGGGCTCCGTCTACTTGCTGGAATGCTAGCTATGCTACATTTCCGGCTGAAAGTAGTTGATCTTTTTCATTAATAAAGACTGTTTGGTTCTTCGAGATGTCATTAATATAATGTAACTCGCAAATACGAGATGTCACGGGAACATTTCGTGACCTATGTGTTTTGAAGGAGGCTAGGAAATTGGTAGAAATATGTGTGTTTCATTGTAATTTCTTTGCCGGGTGCTTCCACTTGTTAGCGGACGTTTGCGGTTAGCCAAGTAGCTTTAGCGCTAGCCAGTAGGTTCTGTCTACATCCTGGTAAGATACCGGAAAACCTTACATGTAGCACACATGGTTAATTTAACCATCATGATATATGCGCTTTTATTCTTTTATGCTCTTAGTAATGCTATATGACACGATAAGACACCAAGACGCCTGTTAATAACTTTCCACAAGTGACGTGTTTTGTATCGCAGTAGGTGTCGGCCAATGTTTGACAGGTACCGCTAGCTAGCAAACTATCGCTATGATTGACATGCATCGTACTTCTTTATCCCTCTAGGCATTGATTTCAAGATTAGGACCATAGAGCTTGACGGCAAGAAGATAAAGTTACAGATATGGTAAGTTGATCGTTATTTATTACTTGTTTCAGAACATTTCATGCACTGGCAGGGTTTTTGTCAATATTTGGTCAGTAAAGTTCGGTGGCACCCACTTTTTTCAAGGCAACGTTAATGGTTCTCATAGATGTACAGTAGGATGCCTAAACGTCATTAACACTCTTAACGTTAGAGTATTCTTGATTTTATAGTCGTTCAATTATTTTAAGATGTATGTACGTGTTCCAAAAGGTAATTTTAGCATATATTATTTCACTTTTATCTATAGTTTGTGTTAATTACAGCCTACAAAATGAATTCATCCAAAGCCAACCTCTACATTCACCTGCAAAAAGTCAATTTAAAAAGAAATAACTTTACATAGCTGGCATATTTTACTACAGTTAAACAATGATTACAATTTTCACAAGTTTTATTATTTTTAAAACTTGTTTCTTGCATTTGGTATTGGTATACATTGAGATACTTTTTGTTGTTTCTCAGGGATACGGCCGGCCAGGAACGCTTCCGAACAATCACGACAGCCTACTACAGAGGAGCAATGGTGGGTGTCGTCTTGTTTTTTCAGACAAATGCAACATAACCCTTTTCCTCCTTGAAGGAACATAAAGTTGCTTTAATACTCAACACATTTGATTTACTGTTTTTTTTCTTCTTCAGGGCATCATGCTTGTCTACGACATCACCAACGAGAAGTCTTTTGAAAATATCAAGAACTGGATAAGGAACATAGAGGAGGTAATAACTGGCTCAAATATGTCCTATTTTATCCGCCTACTTCTTCAAATATCCAAATGACAGCATGTGTAGAGGGTTGTTTTCATTACATTTCTCTGCTCTGGATCCAGCATGCATCATCTGATGTTGAGAAGATGGTCCTCGGCAACAAGTGTGACATCAATGACAAGCGGCAGGTGTCCAAAGACAGGGGGGAGAAGGTGAGAAGCTTGGTTTACTTCAAATGAATACATTGTCTTCACATTATATTTGCTCATTAAGAATATTGGTATGATAAACAAATGAAAAAGACTGATGGTTACCTCCTTATTTATTTATAGCTCGCATTAGAGTATGGAATCAAGTTCATGGAGACGAGTGCAAAGGCCAACATCAACGTGGAAAATGTAAATATACATTCATCCTTGAGTTATAGTGTGCCTAACAGATTATAGATCAGCCATGTAATAACATTTTTTTTCGGTTCACAGTCATTTTTGACACTCGCCAGGGACATCAAATCAAAAATGGACACAAAGCTGGTAAGAAGTTGATAATACCACTTAGTTTTTGGAAAGGGGCAAATTGATGAATGTTACAATTGCTTTTGAGCAGCTGAAAAAACTATCCATAGGCCTCTGGTTTTAGAAAGTATTTGAGGACTGTAAAGAAAGTGGCTGAACTATATAAGACCAAGCAGTTCTACATGACAGCAGTGACCTTTTTATTTGTCATTTTCACAGGAGGGCAACACGCCGCAGGGGGGCAGTCACGGAGTCAAGATCTCCGAGCCTCAGAAAAAGAGCAGCTTCTTCCGCTGTAGCTTACTCTGAGGACCGAGGCCTTCGATACTGGCTTCCAGCTGGCTGGACAAAAATGGACTGTGCTTGCTCTTAGCACTTCCTTCCCCTTCCTTCTTTCTACCCAGTCCACACAATCCATTATATTCCTAGTAAGAGGAGGACTTCCCCTCCTCTCTTCCTCTTCTGAAAGCTTCCAGTGGTGCATCTCTTTCATTTGAAGGAGATCTGTTGTCTTCATGGGTCAGAATGCTTGACTGGTTGAGATAAAAACCAGGACCATTGACCAGATGTTCCTTATCACACAAAACACAGGCTTGTTCTTTTGATGTAAGTCTCTTTGTACTATGCCCTCATATTTCACACGGCCAGTAGCACAACTGAAGATGAGAGAACGTTAAATTAATGTTCTGGGATTGCAAATACAAATGTGACGTTTAGATCTATTTTTAATAGTGCTATTTCCCGTTAAGTGATAAACATCAACCGAGACTGAAAGGCTTGAACTGAAGTGAAACAGAGTTGCACAAGCTTTCATTGTCATTTGAGGAGTTAACACTCGTGCCATGCATAAAGCAGTCAAGGGTCAGAGAGGAATTGGATTCAAATATCTTACATTTGAGTTCAGTTTTCTGCCTGTAGTCATCGACATCATTTGAGTAGCTTAAAATAAGTTTTAACATCCGGTCCTGTTCATCGCACCCTGCCTTCCACCCTTTTATCTTTTTGCAGCAGCTGTCATGTTGAAAGGCAGATTGGCAATCCAGATTTCTCTTTAGATAAACTTCTGCTGGCACATTTTCAGTAGAACTTTGGTGAGGTGACGCGTTCCCGCTTTGACTTCCTCTGGTGTAGTGACCTGAAGGAAAGTATTGTACACAGGTGTGGAAGGGAAAACGTGCTGAAGGTTACCCTTTTACAGAAAGATATCAACATGTGCTCCCATTATAATTTAAATAACCCTTCAAAATTAAGTCCAGCGTGAAATGAGAGGGGGCTGCATTTAGCCATTATTTGTATTGATTATTCTGCCACTGCATTTCTTGATTATTCGATTTATATTTTGGTCTCTAAAACATCTACAAAGTGGGGAAATGGCTATTAAAGTCAAGGTGACGTCTTTAAATTTAAAATGTTGTCAGATCAACAGTCCAAAACCCAAAAGCATTCAATTTAAAATCACATAACACAAAGAAAATCCTCACATTTGAGAAGCTGCAACTAAACGTGTTCTATATTTGCTCTAACATTTAATATCAACGTTTAAATACAGTTGCATTTTTTTCTCTCAGTTGATTGTTTCATGGGATTGCTTTAAAGCGTTGGCCGTTTGACTTGAAGGTGTTGGAGCAGCTCTGATTCACAGTCAAGCTAAATGACGTCTCTGGTTATTTGATCAGAAATTAAAATCACTTTTGAATTTTTCACACTGTAAGCCCCCCCCCCCCCCCCCCCCCCCCCTCTTCTGCTATCCATGCAGCTCTCCTTGCACTTTACCAGTAACTCATGTTTTGTGTGTAGTGTGTGCCAAGTGATAGTTTTGCAATACAAGTACTTAGTTAAAAACATTTTGAGTCTTGGTAATATATTGGGCATAATTCCTAAACTCTTTTTTACCACACCTACTTATAAATGACTTGGTATCCTTTGCTATTTCACTTCTAGTGATCCACTGTCCTGGTATTAGTTCACTGAAAAACATTGACCCAATGTACTTATATATATTTATATAAAGAAAAGAAGAAAAAAAAGCCTGTTTCTATGCTACTGCCCTGCCAAATTATAGTTTAAAAGGTAATGTTTCTTGGCTTATTACATGAATGCTGGCTTGGTGAAAGCTCAAAGGTGCGCCCACTAGTATTATTGTGCATTTGTGTTTGATAGTGGCCCTTTAGTTTGACAGCTAGGTGGCACCAGAGGCACAGTATGCACTATAAACACCTGAACTCACATTTTAATCAGTATTTTATTCAGCGCGCGAGCCACAGTGAGCTATACCTGTGCGATCCAAACATGTACCCACTATTTGACATCTATTTCCACTGTTCCTCATGTTTCCTTCCTTCATTTCTCACCAGTCTGAAAATTGAACTCCTATATGCACAATATCGAGGGAGGATCTGCTTCTGCTTGCCTGCACTTTTTTTGTATTATTATTATCAATTCATTTGGGACCTCATGGCCATTTGTCTTAACTGCTAATACTCAGTTCTGTCATAGGTGAGCTATGCATTGTGAATCTTGGACCTGTGCATATTTGTGTGATGTAATTTCAGACGTAGACCTGTACAGTTGAATGTATGGGCTTTTTTTTGTGTCACTCGTTGAGCCAAAAACAGGACTGTAGAAACGGCATTGCAACAACAACGCGAGTTGAGTTTATCATGATGGAAGATTGAATAGAAAGAGCCTGTAAGTGTGGAGCTGTTTTCTCACTCGAGTGATACTGTAGCTTTAATTCATAATCAGAAACGTTGGGAGCAGACTTTAGAGAAACTGAACTGCGTCATTTTCATCTGAAATGAACCTCCGTCTTTGATTTTTGTTTTGAAATCATACCCTTTACTAACATAATGTACATCCCTTTTTACAGCCATATTTTCATTCCATCAATTTGTGAAGTACACGGGGAGAATAATAAAAATACATTTTGGAGAAAAAAATTGTAAATATCACATTGAAAAAAAAAGATCTACTTAAATTGTACTGTACTTTCTAAACCCATTATGAAAATGTATCTACAGTTTGTAGATATCTGTGCTTTTGATTTAATAAAATAAGATTATAAAACTAACTTTGTTTCTAGTCACTGTCTTTATTGGCTGCCAGTTGACCCCATGCAGCTTGACTGCTTGCACAACAAACGCTTCTCTATTGGACCGCTATAACCCTGTGGATTATTCTGGCATGTGTTTTCTTTTATAGTCTTGTGTAACTGATCCCTTTTTAGATACAAAACAGATCTGCTGTTGATGGTCATAACTAATGAGGCTTGTCTTTAAGGCTTCGTCCATGACTGGTGTTATTTCTGCAGATACGATAAAGAAAGAAGAATCAGCTCGGTATGTGCATACAAATCTAATTTGTCTTCATGCAAAATGTCTAAGGGATGATTTTCTCTGATATAGATCAGTAGGTTTTTATTGGGTTTTTAAAACAAAAGAAAACAAAAAGTACATTTTAGTTATTCACAAGATTAGATTTAGTTGCTTGAGAAGTCAGGATTCCCCCACATTCCAGACACTCAGTCCATCATTAGGTGGTATTAAGATTAAGAAATAAATGAAAGCTTCATTTCTTTATATCCGTATGTGGAAGGTGCTGTGAACAGAAATAAGAGAAGTTAGATTTATTCATTAGAAGTTAAAGTTAAGAACAGATATTATATTAAAAACACATATTGGATGACGGTCATTGATACAAAATATGTAATGATGAATTGTTCTTATGTATCCTTTGTAGGGGTTCATCATGTGGTTATCTCTGGCCTACCTCAGAAAGTCTGGAGCTCGGACGATCATGGTCTGGAAGTCCTCCAAGGACAGCCGTCCATCGTTGTCCAGGTCCGACTCATCGATCACCTTCTCACACACCATCCTCACCTCGTCCTCCGTCAGCTCGTTACGGGTCAGTTTGTTCAGAGTCTTCTCCAGGTCGGACTTGCAGAGAAAGTCATCATTGTTGAAATCTTGCAGAATATAGAAATCAAGGAGATAGGAAATTATCTGTCAATGAATTTTGGACATAAAAGTATGTTTGAATATGTTGACTAGGGCTTAGCTAATGGTGGATGTTTTCCACTATTTGGACATGTTATGGACCAAACTGTTGAATAAACAGATTCATCTCTAATAAACATTGTTTTCGTTCGTATATTCTGAACTAATCCTATCCAGGGTTACATATATTTGGTGACAATATTCAGGGTTTGAACTATATCTCTAAATAGCATTCATTATTTGTCTTACCCCGTAATGTTACTGCTTTTTCCTTATCCATATTAAGGCATTGTTTAAACACATTCTTTAAGCCTTACATACTCCCAGTCCGCCATTAGAGAGTTCATTTGAGGTACCTAGCTCATCATAACACAACCCTTCTGTTACAGTATGTCCTCCTCTATTGGTCTGAATAATGAATGAAAATCTTCCTTGACCCATGACCAAGGCCATGTGTATGTAACTTCTTCATCTGTCAGCATTTGTTAATTAGAGGGGGGGCACTATTGCAGAGCGCAAACTGGGCTTTGAAGAGCTCTTTGCCTCTATAATGGGCCCCTTAATCATTTATAACATTCCATGCACCATCCGTCATGCTTACAGCTCCCAGACCCGGCACCGTGGTTCATTTTCATAAGCCTGCACATTGATGAAATGTGAAAATATACTTGTGTTTAACAACTGTTATGAAACTGACTTCATAGTTCAAATGTTTACAAGGGATTAGATGAATGTGCTGCACACAGGCTAGGTGGTTTATCACACTTTCAAGTTAGGCCTACATGTTTCCTAATCTTCAGTTTGTAGTCCTGAAGATCCTGGACTGTCGTTAACAGCTCAAAAATCATACTTATTATATTACAATTACATTATGATCTGTAACCATTATTCCTGATGATATTTCTTAATTTTATTGGGTTTTACTTATAAATATGATTTATTTCTTATTCCTTTACACAAAGTGATGCAGTTTTTCAGGTTCACTCCATCTGGGTGGATGCAAACACACTATCTGTACAATACTGCACAATTATTGGTATTTGAACAACTTTTTGACAACTAATCTGAAAATATATTATAGCATATAAAACATGTAATGTTTTTGGTGTACTATTAATATGTTATGCTCATTTCTGCATACGGTCACCTTCACCATATGTTCAAGCCCAGTTTGAGACCACTTTCATACCATTCTCTGAATTAGGGTTTAAAAGATCAGAAGAAAAGAAAGAGGGGATTCAAAGTGAGAATGACGTTCATTTGAATTATTGCTCTTACACATAGACCAGTAGGATCTGTGGAAAATAAAGCCATTCTCAACTAAATATATATTTTAAAATTCAATACCCTCCATTTGATTTTTTTAAATGTCTATTACTTTATTTTATATTTTACCATATATTTTGAAAGCGTAGTAGGCCTTGAGGTCACGCGGGGCCATCTCGCTCATGACTGAAAACATGTCCAAGAAGTCGTCCAGTGTCATGTTTCCCTCTCCGTCGTCAGAGAAAACCTCAGCGATCCTCTGACGAAACGGGTTGTCCTGCACAGAGGGGACACCAGCACCTCTATAAGTTAAAACTGATGAAATCACAAAGCAATAAGACCTGTTTCCTGTTGGTCTGATGGCTTCGCTGTGCTGCAAGATTGTGTTTATGTTCAATTTATATATCATTTTCTTGTCGGTTTTTCTGTTATTTTAAGATCTCAAAAAAGCTCTTAAATTTGGATGAATGTAAGACAAATTACAATCTAACTCTCCCTTTCTCAGGACATGTCAGCGACAAGCATGTTAACACACATGTTTACCTCCCTGTCATTGTGTAAAGAGGCATATAATTGACCCATTTCAAACAAGTGTGCCCTGAGGGACGCACCAGCTTTCTTAAAGTTTAAAGGAGTCGGGTAACATATAACGTTTCAAATAATTCGGTCGATTAGTTGGCCATTAATTATGTATTGGGAACACAGGGAGTGGGTCTACCTTCAGCTCTGGCATGCTGCCAATCAGCTCATATGGTAGCTTCACATCTGGCTGGCAGGTGTAGTCAAGGGGAACGAGCTGTGGCGCCAAATCCCGATAGCGGTCAAACAGTCTAGGAAAGGTTGAACAGAAATATCTTTCAATATTAAATTACAAGATATCGTTTAATATTATGTATTTGATATTACATGGGGCAGATCGTATCTAAGAAATATTAAAACAACTCTATTTCTCTCTTTTTATTATCCACACGGAAAACAATGTCTTCTTAGCACAGTCAAGCAAGAATTTTAAAACAATGTGATTTCAATGGTAGCCTGCCCCACAGTAGAAGAGGCCTCATGATATTGTAGTTTAGAGTTACAGTAAAGTATTGTGCAGAACAGAACAGAAAACGTGCTGTATAATGTCTAACCAGCAATAACTTTGATACAATAAGATGTTGATACCAGCCAGATAATTTGATTCAGGAGAAATGCTATAATTTAATTTCTCACCTGAGAATTTCTTTCCTTGTAAAATATGTACAGTCCTGCAAAAACAATCAGATTATGGCAGGGATGTTGAGAAATTGAAAAAAAAGGTATGATGCAGCGTTTCTTAATCTAGTTTGACACTAGTTCTAGAAAAATGATTCGGCACAATATAAAAACTCGTAAAGGTCATGCATTTTAAACCATTTTTGTATTTTTAACCAAGATGTATTTGCCACAAAAAGTACTTATACTTAATCTTAATATCTGTGTATAATCTTAAAAAACATGTAATATTATTTCTAGGGATATTAATATAGGTTAGAAATACATGTAATATTACTATATGTATGTTTACCTTACTACAGAAGTAAGGTCAAATAAATTCCTTGTAGAGGTATAAAGTGGCAACAAATTAAAATACTCATATAAAGTACTATTGCCAAAGAATAACACTTAAGTACAGTACTAGAGTAAGGTATCTCATTAGACCAAATGTCCTTAGTGAACTTCCACCACTGATTTTACATCAAAACAGGTATCTAAATAAGACTTTATCACTTGATTAAAACATGCCACTATATGCATCCTGTTACTAACGTTACACCACAAATTACCTCTGATGCATTGACTGTAAAAAGTCCAAATACTTTCCTTTTTGAACTGCATATTTGGAGGTTGAGACATGACGTCTGACAGGCCTATTGCCCTTGTTTACAGATGCTGGGAGCTGGTATTGATAAGCGATGCACCAAAGAGAATGAGGCTAACCGTCTCAGTCAGAAAGGAACGGGATTGACACCAACCTGATAAGAATCGAGCTGCTGTGCTGTGAAGATGGTCTGTTTATTCCCCATGTCCGAGAGCACAAACGCCAAGCCTCAGGTCCATCGCTGCTCCAGCATCTACTGCTTTTTTAGGGTGTGTGGATATGTCAGATATGAAATGCTGGGACAAAAGGAAGCCGGAGCCAAAGAGGAGATCAGGTGTCGGGCTGCCACCGGGCCTTTGGTCCCCATTATAATGGCAGCATTTCATCGTTTTCTCCATTGTGAATAGCAGCCCCTCTGACAATGAATAAGGGCTGTCGTCCAGCATCATGCCAAGTGGTATCAACCCCTTTAGTGCCACTGTATGGCCGACGCCTCGCTCACAGCTCAGGTTACACTCTTTAGAGACGGGGTATTGTAGTGGGCAAATAGACTTTTTGATGGGAGACAAGTTTTGTTTTAGTTGAGACCTCCATTATTTGGTATATATCCAACTATTGAATGCTATTTCTCCTTCAGCTTTAGCACAGGTATTACATTAAGCTCAATGATAATGAATTGAATTGAACAGCAGCACTATACGATCAATGCATCCCACCTTCACCTCACTGTATTGTGCTCTGCAAAAGAAATAAGGAAGACATTCAATAGGAAGAAAAGGTTTTTAGTCACAAAAAAAAGAAAAGTGAAATGCTTATGTGTTATCCTTTAAAAAGTCCAACATGGTGCAGTTTCATTTGGAGATCGACTGTATCTCAGTGGGCACAGGCATGGGGGTCTGGACCTCTTAGTGGGCACAGGCATGGGGGTCTGGTCCTCTTAGTGGGCACAGGCATGGGGGTCTGGACCTCTTAGTGGGCACAGGCATGGGGGTCTGGACCTCTTAGTGGGCACAGGCATGGGGGTCTGGACCTCTTAAGGAAGCCCCATAAAATGTAATTGGTTTCCAAATCCATCTGTGATGCAAATTATGCTACGCTTTGTTTCCCCTTTACATATTCACTGTCAAAACTTTAAACCTCCATTGAATTCAATATTTTCCGTTGATTAATAAATCCATCAATTTTTCTTGTGCTTGTTTAGGACAAGGTCATTTGTTCAAAAGCAGTTTTTGGACAGTTTATTATTATATGAAATGTAGTATGTACTGTTTTATGATACAAATATGATTTGATGGTACTTTGGCCTGAAACAGGTATAACATTTATTTCTGTGAGGTATTAAAAATCTTTTGACCACCATTGCTCTTTGCTACTTTACTACACCCTTCACATCTTACTGAAACAGTGTTTTTTAAAAGGTTTCACGTTTACAATATATTGTCTCCTAAATGTGTTGTTTCAGTTATTGTGCGAGAAGCTCCTCCGGCTGCCTCCACCTGGTTTGACTCGTCTCTGATCGTTTGCTCACCTCCTGGGGGGTTTGTTTCCCCGAATTAATTATCTTTCAAGGATGCTGCACGCCCTGAACTGTTGCTGCTTTGCAAAGTGTGGAACTAGGCAAACCAGTATAAGTGTCAAGAGGGAACTATCCAGCTCCTAAAAGGTTTGATGCAAGGACTCCTTTATCGAAGGCTGATGAGGAATGTTGTCCTCTTCTTGTTTTCTGTAGACTAGCTTCTATGTTTTACATTTTAAACCATGTTGTGTTTGAAAAGTGTATACATTTTGTGTCTGCATTTACAATATATTTAAAATTCTGTTCTCAATGTTGGATATTGCATGTCCTCCTTGTCTTTTCTTCTGCCCTCTCTATTATAAGGTCAATAGTTCTGATGTCAACGACAGCCAGACATGCCAGGAGACTTCTGAGCTCTCAAGAGCTTTGTCCAAGAAAATATTCAATTTTAAAGGTTTCCTCAGGAGGAATGCTTTTGTTCTTCTCACTCTGGCTGCTATAGTCCTTGGTAAGTATTGTGTTTAAATATCAATGTTGAATGGATGTATTCCAAAAACATTTTCTATGACCTCTTTGATCTAATCTGAGAGAGTTCCTACTTGTTAGCTTTCATGCTATGCTAGCAGTAAATATTACAGTTAACCAAAACAAGCACTTGAATGGCAAATAGTAACACAACCTTTTTTAATCAGCTATTTCATGGAAACATTTTAAAACATATACATTGTTCATGGATGTTAAAATAGATCTGACCTTACAAAAGTCGTGGAGCAGCATCTGGTGGATTTGATCTGTGATAAAACCATAAATGGACGTAGGGTCCGTGACGTCACCCATAGGATTCTGCAGAGTTGCCGTGAAGCCCTTAGTAGGCGGAGTCGGCCACTAACGGCTCGACCAGCAAGTCCTCCAACTCATACGACCAAATGGGTCGATTGTTTAAGCCCTTATTACGACCAAATATGTCGTTTGTTCAAGCGCTTAATACGACCTATAATTACGTTTTAAAGTTGTCGGCCTCAAGTGCTCCCGTTGAATGCAAACGTTACAGAGGGTTGTTTATTCACAAATAACCCTCTCTGTAAAATCCTAAATTGCAGGATAGTTTGGCCATTAAAACGCTTTATGATTAGATTTCTAGCGAGAAGTATATATTGTACTTTTAGAATCCACGTCCAGTCGTTATGTAGGATCTATAGTTTGATAGATATTACGAAGATGATTTGAGGTTTCGTCAGGAGAACGTGTATATGCGGCAAGCTTCCATGTAAAGTTACGGGTTGAAAACAGTATTTCCGGTCTCGACGTTTTCATAATAAAACCAATGATCAAATGATTTAACAGTGATATCTGCAGTACTCATCCACTAAAAAAAAAAATCATACTTTATTCCGAGTGTTCTTGCTTTTCTCTTTGAAAGTCATCACATAACGGCATTGTAATACACGGTTCGGCTGCATTACATATCTGCCGTAGATATGTATTTATAGAGTCCTGATCAGAAGACCTTTTGACAAACTGGAAGAGATGCCGCCAAAACTGAATACGTGACGTGGACCATAAAATATCAACAATTAAACAACATCTTCCATTTCTTTTCACACAATACGTCTCCTTGCAGTATCAACACTAATTCGGCTGACTTTTATATTTGATCCAATTAGTAGATAGTCTGTATTTACACCATAACGGTGCACAGCTGATAGAAAGGGATTTTTTTTGTAGTTTTTAAAGATATTACTGATTTTCTGAACTACCTTTCCAACTCCTCATGCAGATGACTGTTACAGGTCTATACAAGTTTATGGTACAATGCATAAGCTTCACATTGAGAGACTGAAACTGTATTTTCCTTTAGCGTTCTGTTTTAATTTCACAATAAAGTGAATAGTCATATTATGTTTGATATTATTATGTTTTATTAACTACACCACTTGTTTTTTAAACCGCACCTCCTAGTGGTTAAAGCGCGTTATTGAATGTAGTTGTTGAATAAGTTTAATTTTTATGAAAACATTTAAATATTAAGAGTAGCCTACATACAAAATAGGGGTCAATGATAGAAATATAGAATAGAAAATATCAAGAAGATACTGTAGTGATCTCTACAATAAAACAGTTTAGTGCAGGACGTCCAAAGATATTAACAGGAGGATGTGCAAAACAGACAAACTGATAAGGCTGAATTTTACTCAGGTGTAACTAAAGTCTGATTTAAGGGTTGTTTATATTTCACATCATTAATCAGAATCTGCAAAGTAACAAAAATAAATGTAGTAGAGTAAAAATACCAGGTTGACCTCTGAATTGTAGTGGAGTAGAACAAAGTAGTACATGTTGCTGTAACAAAAACATTTCCCAACTTGGGATCAATAAAGTATCTTATCTTAAGATGATCGATGGCTACTGCCATATTTGCTAAATGTGCATCTGAACCTTGACAAGTGCATGTTTCAGGCTTATCAATTAACAACAGGAGGGGTCACAGACCTAAGACCAGCTGTTAAATAAAGCTCTTCTGACCTTAGCTGTCATGTGGGTATATTAATGCTGCCCATTATGGGCACAAGCAATTTTCACCCATGTATTAATTATATGTTTTAAATGTGATAACACCATTACATTACATTGCATTTAGCTGACGCTTTTATCCAAAGCGACTTACAATAAGTACATTCGACCAGGAAGACACAACCTTGAAGAAAACAGAATCATATAAGTACATCAGGTTTCATAGAGCCAAAACATTTCAAGTGCTACTCAACTGGCTTTAGATAAGCCAGTCCTTTATTAGTATATAAGTGCTTTGTTAATAGTTCTATCGCTCGAAGTGGAGTCGAAAGAGATGAGTTTTCAGTCTGCGCCGGAAGATGTGCAAGCTATCTGCTGTCCTGATGTCAATGGGGAGCTCATTCCACCATCTTGGAGCCAGGATAGCAAACCCACGTGTTTTTGCCGATGGGAACTTGGGTCCCCCTCGCAGCGAGGGCGCAGCGAGTCGTTTGGCTGATGCAGAGCGTAGTGCACGCGCTGGGGTGTACGGTTTAACCATGTCCTGGATGTACGAAGGGCCAGATCCATTCGCAGCATGGTAAGCAAGTACCAGTGTCTTGAAGTGGATTCTAGCAGTTACCGGAAGCCAGTGAAGGGAGCGGAGGAGCGGAGTGGTGTGGGAAAATTTAGGAAGGTTGAAGACCAGACGAGCCGCTGCATTCTGGATCAGCTGCAGAGGTCGGATGGCACATGCAGGTAGACCAGCCAGGAGGGAGTTGCAGTAGTCTAGGCGTGAGATGACGAGAGCCTGGACCAGAACCTACGTCGCTTTCTGTGTCAGCTGGGGACGTATCTTCCTGATGTTGTAAAGCGTGTATCTGCAGCAACGGGTTGTGGCAGCTATGTTTGCAGTGAAGGACAGGTTGTTATCTAGGGTCACACCCAGATTCCTTGCAGTCTGAGTCGGGAAACAACTGAGGTGCCGATGTTGATTGTTAGGTCAAGAGTGGGACAATCTTTTCCCGGAAGGAAGAGCAGCTCAGTCTTGTCAAGGTTGAGCTTGAGGTGATGAGCAGACATCCACTGAGAGATGTCAGCTAGACAAGCAGAGATGCGTGCGACGACCTGGGTCTCTGAGCGGGGAAAGGACAGAATTAATTGGGTGTCGTCAGCGTAACAGTGGTATGAAAAACCATGCGGGCTAATGACTGATCCGAGTGAGTTTGTGTACAGGGAGAAGAGGAGGGGACCAAGAACAGAGCCCTGAGGGACCCCTGTAGTTAATTGACAAGGGTGGGACTCAGACCCTCTCCAAGTCACCCTGTACGTACGGTCTTTCAGATATGAGGTGAGGAGGGAAAGTGCAGAGCCTGAAACTCCAAGTTTTTGGAGAGTGCGAAGGAGGATCTGATGGTTCACCGTGTCGAATGCAGCAGACAGGTCCAACAGGATGATGACAGAGGAGAGGGATGCAGTTTTGGCAGTGTGCAGTTCCTCCGTGACAGCAATGAGAGCAGTTTCTGTGGAGTGACCTGCCTTGAAACCAGACTGGTGCGGATCCAGAAGGTTATTCTGATGGAGATAACAGGAGAGTTGTTTAAAGACAGCGCGTTCAAGTGATTTAGACAGGAACGGGAGGAGAGAGACAGGCCTGTAGTTTATAACATCAGACAGGTTGAGAGTAGGTTTCTTTAGGAGAGGGTTTATTCTTGCCTCCTTGAGACTGTTTGGAAAGTGACCAGAAGTTAGAGAAGTGTTGATGAAATGGGTGAGAAACAGTAGAATATCAGGAGCGATAGTCTGAAGGAGGTTTGAAGGGATAGGGTCCAGAGGACAGGTGGTAGGGCGGGCAGAGGTAATGAGGGTAAGAACGTCACTTGGAGAGAGAGGGGAAAAGGAGTGTGTTTCGTATCCCCTAAACCTCCAGGGATGTATACAGTGTAATACTGGCAACTTCTAATTGTGGGAAATACGAAAACGTCTTATAAAACTACAATTCCCAGTAGAGACGTGCCATAGAACATATTGCGAAACACACAATAGCCAGCATGTGTAATTCTGGGGGGGAGGGCTGGGCTGGACCCGTCCAAGTCCAGTTTTGGATAGTCTGGCGTGGTTCCATTCCATTTCAAAGAGCTGTTTGACATTCGGCGTAACCTTGTCGCACTGCCACTCCAACATCCAATCACAGAGGTTGAGGGCTAATCACGGGGTTTGTAAAGCAAGGCGGATGTTGTAGTCCCAAACGATAGCTGGGGATTCTGAGTAGTGTAGTGTCTTCGGAAACTCTGTAGTGTCTAAACTCCGAAAAAACAATTTGTTTCTCCGAATCGAAGGTTAAAAACACAAAAGCATTGTACACAATTTAAACCAATCAATATTGTGTAATTAACAAGGATAAACTGATGTTTTTTAGTGGATGAGTAATGGAGATATCACTGTGTAATCATTTGACAGTGTGGGGAATACTTCCGGTTTTATTATGAAAACTTCGAGACCGGAAATACTGTTTTCACCCATGCTAACTTTACATGGATCCTACACATCCACTGGACGTAGATTATAAAAGTACAATATACACTTCTCGCTAGAAATCTAATAGAAAAGCATTTTAATGGCCAAACTATTCCACAATTTAGGATTTTCCAGAGGGTAATTTGTGAATAAACGACCCTCCGGAGCGTTTGCAATCGACAGGAGCATGTTGTTTCTTACACGACCACTAGAGGTGCTACACTTTAAAACGTGAGTCTGGGTCGTATTTAGCTGCTGAACAATCGACCTATATGGTCGTTTTTTGTAGGAGGACAGGCTGGCTCGACAGTGACGCCAGAGTTCAACTCCCGCCTGCTCCAAATAAGGGCAAAGAGGCGGAGCCGAGGCGGGACCTGCTGCCACCGAGCTGGAAGTTCCAGAGCTAGCTGAAGCTACCAAGCTAAGCTAACATGCTCCCCATCTGCACGCTGCCGTCGCATTTTACGTTTCTAAGATAAGCGGACATGAAACTATTCAGCAAAACTATAAATAATAATCTAAGTTATTGAGCTTTTAGCATAATACTTCAGAATCTTAAAACCCCTTAACGTTTGTATGCAATTGTGCTAAATTCAACACTGGAATCAAGCAAATATTAATATGTTTGCATGACATTAGTTATTTATATTTTGATATCACTTAACTATACGTTTAATACATTTAAGTCAAGCTAAGGTACATGTGATGGTAGCTAGTTAGCGCTCTTACCTGTGAGGCCTCCTCCAAACAGCATAATAACCAGACTATCATTAAAACTAAGTACCAGTTATAGATCCTTGACTTTAGACAAACAATTCAAAAGACAAAATGTATTTAAAGACCAATCTTTATTTGAATGTGCCTCTTAACCTGA